GAGTGGGCAGGAATCCACTCAGCTCCACTGTGCTGCTGGTGGTGGGTGGGGCCCCAGGCCATTTTAAAATCGCTCTGGGGACACGGGGAAGGGAGGAAGCACCCAGGGGCGGCAGGTGGGCGAGACCCAGCCCCCAAATTGCTGGAGCCCTACGGGCCACATGGGGAGGTTCTCGAGCCGCAGATGGGCCGCGGGCCGGGAGTTTGAGACCCTGGTGTAAACGGAGCCTGAGATAATGAGAAGAGGTAGGAATCCAGTAGAATCATGTATTGAACAAGCCTACCAAATACATAGAATATCAGGGTTGGAAGGGATCTCAGGAGGTCATCTAGTCCAACCCCCTGCTCAAAGCAGGACCAATCCCCATCTTGAGGTGCAGAACAAAAATAGGGGAGGATGGAAGCAAAGGGTAAAGGAAGAGAATACCAAAGGGAAGGCACGCATGGCCTTTCAGTAGACACAGTCCTGGCATTGTAAATGGAGAGTTCACACTTCGGTCTTGTCTGCATTACAGAAACGTGCACTGGTCTAAACACATCACTATAATTACCTGGGTGCAAATGCCTAATGTAGACAGAGGGCACATTACGAAATGGAACCACACTGCTAAATCTGGGTATGTTGCACTGATGCAGTTCATCTAAAATTGGCACTGGTTCAACTGCTCGCTCCTAGTAGCCAGGTCCTCAGGTTCTAGTATCAAGCGACTGCCCCTGATGTTAGCTGCCAGGGTGGTGAGCAGGGTGAGAGAGGTCATCTTCTGTACTAATGTGCCAGAGCCCTCAGCTCTAGAAGTCAGACCCCACTCATGGAATTACACTCAGCTTCCAATTACAAAGTTTCCAGCCCTCATTGTTGCAGGGAAAAGCTCGAAAACATGAACCCTAACCACCACAACACAAATGCCAAATTTAATTCTTAAGATCTTTAAGCCAATCTTGTGAGTTTAACTCATGATTTTTGAACACTGGGAGTCAATACTGAGCCAACAGATAGATTGGAGCAGAGGTATGTACACATCAGCCTGCCTCCACAAAAGGCAGATAACTGCATTCTGTACTGCTCGCTGGGATGGCACCTTTATTATTTGGTTGCCACAAACCCAAGTACCACTGCAGCTTCTTGCTGAACTTCAAGGGTATCACTATAGGGCATGCACTGCAGTAGTCTAGCCTGGGGTGGTAAAGATGTAGGTAACTGTGTAAACATGGTTTCTTAGTGTTACTTTAAGAAGGGGCCTTCTTCCAAAGCATACGATACACAATTTTACAACTATGAAATACTTCAAACAAATTCAACTTTATCCACCATCTTCACTGTATTATTTGATTTGATTTCTACTTTATTAATAGCGGGTAGTCTCATCATACTTCTACAAAAGCAGTTTTCAGTAGAAAAATGCTTTTAATTTCCAATTGCAGCCTAAGTCCATACCAAATTTAAACTGAATTGCAGAAAGTCACTGTGTGACAGGAAATTTTTTAGTATCTTCCTTCCTGTTTCCCCACTTTTAGCATGAGGCAAAAATGAAACTAGACTTCTGGCTCTAACTGAGGCTTCTATAATGGGACATGAAACATACCCCCCACTACTACTTCATTTGCCTCTCCAGCGCATGAGCAGTAGTTACTTTACGTTTCAAAATGATAGGAAGCAATATAATTTGAGTACAGCAAGTTTTCAATGGAGCGATGATTCAGGCTGAAAAATAACCCAAACTCGTACTACAGTACCTAAGCAGACAGGCTACGATTTTCAAACATGGGTGCATAAAGGCACCTAAAGTGACCTAATTTTTAGCTCCTGAGCACCCACAGCTCCCATTAACTTTAGAGTTTTACATACTTCAGCGGGGACTACAGTGCCCAGCAACCTGAACAATCAGAAGGCTTATTTAGGTGCCTTTGTTTGAATTGTTTGCTCATAGGTTCTGAAGTCCATGTTAAGCGTATTCATTTGAAATTAACAGCTGTAATTAAGGTGGTATTGGCACTATCTAGAAGGCGGGTTTCAGACATAGTGCAGAATATTTTCACTTTATGTTTCCCCTTTCAGCCTTCAGTTAACTTGGGTCTGGGATCTGTCATAAGTGCTACACAGGTAGAAATGCTTACCTGGGCTATGCAACGGGCACAATAGCTGACAGCTTTCAACTGTATGGCCCCTTACTACAATCACATCCATCAGCTTTTGCCTATGCATGGACACAGACATTTAATACTCTGGACAATTAATGAAGTTATTAAAGACTGAACGGTGGAGCTTTAAAACCTTGTAGGATTAGAATTAGCCTCCCTTCTGTACTGATCCATCTGTAACAAGTGCTGAAATGCCTGGAAATTAAAGGAGTATGAAACTCTGCTCTTGTCTGGTCCAAAGGCAATTTCTGTTTCTGTTCTTTAAGTTAAGGTAAAAACCTAATTCAATCCAGAATCACAGGGGCTTTATTTCACAGATGGCAATTGGGATGTGCAAAAGACACTAAATGCTTTAACGGCTGATGAAAAATTGTCAACATGTCGTGGATGCCTTCCCTCCTATCCCCCAACAGCGAGGAGACAATGAGAAAATGAAATGGAGCGGCTGGTGCTCAGTTTGTATCTGGGAATCTTCAAAGCTCCAGGGATAGGCATGAACCCAGCAGCTGAAATGTACTCCAGTTAGCACTGAGCATTAACTGACACCTAGTGGCTAAGCATGATCTCAAATAAAATCCATTAAGTGCAATGTTTTGAAGGTTAATTCTCTCTCTAGAATTTTGAACCCCTAGACCATCAGGAACAAGACTCTTGTTTAGGTGAAACGGACTCCCCTCAGGAGGAGATGGAAATATTCAAGTGTGTGGCAGACTGTTCAATATTTCCTCTACTATAAAAAATGTTCAGGATTCTGGTAACAGTTATCACCAATTTTTAGGTGCAGACAAGCATTTTAGAGCATGATCTTCCCTCAGACCCAAAAAGTGACATACCTCGTTGGAAATGATTGATTTTTCCACACATGCTATCATAGTTTCCAGATGTTGACCTATTATAACATTATATAGAATGGATTTACATGCAATATCTGGATAGTACAAATTCATGCAATTACTTTGTCAGTATGATTTCTCTCTTGTATGTGACTCACACCTATTTGAAACAACCGAAGTGATTCTGTCACTTCTGACAGAGCAGAAGACTGAATGATGTGTACAGACTTTCATACAGCACTGCCATAAGCCATCATATGAACAGATACAATGCACATAAATCTATTTTTAAAATATAACTATTGAATTGGTTTTCCTTTTCAGTTCTTGTGTTGGAAGAGCATAAATTTCCCAAGTCTCCGCAGCAAGCTGGATATAAATTCTGCAGTTTCCATGTTATCTGATTTTTTAAGTATTGATTTTGTGCCACTCCCACATTTTGAGTATTCACTCTTATATAGATTATTCCATTAGCAATATATAAAAATGCATTGCTGAGAGAAGCTGGAAGGCTTAGCAGCTGTGAAGAGGGTAGTTTAGATTTTTGGCATGCAGGAGGCAGCTGAGGCATGCAGAAGGGATGCACCATTTTTCTCCTTCTTAGAGGCAGAGGCAGCATTGACTCAAAATTTTTGAGTGGTACTTAAACTAATTCCCCATTCCAGCAACACTTTAGCGACAGCTGCCATGCAAATGGCCGGTGTCCCAATATCTAGCACTTCAAACAATTACGTAGAAGTTGATTGAACGTTAATTGAACACTTCTATTATAATGATCAGCACTGAAATACTTAATGGTTAAATAATGAAATGACATCAGCAGGGTTCAGAGTTAACACACGAATCTAGTGGAATGAGGCAGTTCACATGCATCTGACTATAGTCCATCTACAGAATCAGGAAGGCAGCACATACATCAATTTCAATTTGATTCATATCTGGAAGCCTCTCTTTGCAACTACAAGAATTAGAAACTTAGAGTGGTCTTTTCAAAGGGGCTCAGCATGAACCTAACTCTGCTCCCACTGAAGTCAATGGTAGAACTCCCATTCATTTCACTGGGACCAGCTGGACCCACACTGAGCACTTCTGAAAAATCTCACAGGTTAAAAAAAAAAAAAAAAAAGATTCTACAGCTCTTGGAGGAGCATGACGGCAACATACCTTGTGGCTTTAGAATTGCAGAAACCATGTGGTTCTGAAAAGATCTTGGCAGTGACTTTAAAATATTTCCTCTGCTATATATTCCAAGTTCATATACATTTATTATACCAAATTAAACTAGATCCTTCAAAAAAGTTTCCTCAAAGAGGCAATAAAGAGAGACCTGTAAAGTTGGATTTGTGTCAGAAAGGCATGAATGGATTGTGTTTATTTAAACTGTATTTATAAATACGCTAAATCATATTTTACCTATTTTTTTTTAAATTATAGCTAAAACAATTTGCTGCAAAATACATCAATTTATACTGCATGGGTAATCGTGAAAACCATGAGAAATTTATTTCTTTCTGCAACCTGGAAATAAGATTTACCCATTTGTGCATAATGCAGTCATCCCCAAAAAGAAATTTTTACAATACTCCATATTTACTCTATAGAGCTTATCACATAGCCAGCATTTTACATCTCTTATGGTTCGTTAAATTTTAAAACGCTTACATTTGTCTTTTACAAGATGTGGGGAGCAATCAGAAAAGACTACAGGTAACTTAACTCTCAACATACTAGGTCTTACAACAGCTTAGTTGCTTAAGTGTCCATAACTGGGTCTAAACGAATTAAAGGGCATCATCCAGCAGTCCTCATGTAAAACTCTCACATAAGTCAATGGGAGTTTTGCCTGCATTAGGACTGCAAGACTGGACCCTTCTCTTACATAAACCGTATGATGCCCTGATAAAACATACACTCTTTACTTTGAAATAATGGAACAAAATAGAAGAAGGGCTCAATTTAAATTTGTTCCTCATCCACACACTGAGATACTGACCATTTCATAGTCCACTTTATTAATGCATACTAACGGTCAGGTGAACGAGTTCATCTTTATTTATGAAAAACATATGAATTGAGATAGATATCATAGGAAAAATTAGTTCAAATATACAGATAGTATTGTCCAATCAGCCATTAAGGAGAAAGAACCAAAAATCATTATTTTTTTTTTCCAAAAACAGAAAATTAATGAACTACTGTAGGTATTTTTCTTCATCGCAAAAGCTGAGATGCATCCAGGCACAGTACAATTCTACTTTACTGGGAAATGTAGACGGCGTCTAAATTCCTGTTGATTTTTTTAAAATCTGAATTAATCCCTGTCATTTTTTCAGCATTGCTGCCTCAAATTTAATCCTTATAATATATAATCAACCTTTCCAAATCTACAGTCACTCTTTGCTTTAAGTCAATTCACAGAACTGCTGAAAAAGTAGACATTTCTATCTAAAAGTACAAAAAGGGTTTGTATAGAAGGTACTTCTCTTATACAATTATATTACACAGCTCAGGACAGTCCCAGCAAGCTCTTCTCCGGACTGCATGCTTCTGACTAGATAGGAAAAAAGTACAAAGGTGAAGTTAGTTTCATTGCAGCTATGTATCCTACTATACATACTAGTACTTGAGAAATTTGTGTACATCTCTTTAAGTCCTCATTTAGGCTATGATTCATGAAAGTACCCAAGCACATGCTTTCCTGAATAAGAATGGGTTTAAGTATGTGCTTGAGTGCCCTCTTAAAACAGGGTTTTACCCAGGCATTTCACTTGATGTAAATTCTCTGTTGAATCCATTAGGTGAGTACAATTGTAACGTAGCTAGAGTGACACAGAACCAGAGACCAAATCCTGCAGCCCTTACCTCAGACAAAACTCCCACAAGCTTCAATGGGAATTTAAACCAAATGAGGTCTGTAGAATTTGGTTAACAGAAGTTACAACAGACCTTTTTACATCTGTTAGGTTAAGTCCATTTTCCTGAAAATAAAGGATTATTTCCAACATTTTCTAATGCTTTGTCCAGTCTATCTTAAATATTTTAAGCAATGAAATTTCTACCATTGAAATACTGCTTGACAGACTAACAGATCTCAGATATGGAAAATTTTTATTCATATTCAACCTCAAATTATCAACTTTGTGATGAATATAGTCAATAGCATTTTCTTACTTTTAAAAAGGGAGATCATAGTACGAATGTACTAGACAAATACAACCCATCTTTAGGTCAATCAAGTTGACAGATGTTACAAAAGTATCAAAGCTCAAAACTAAAAAAACTTGGTTCAGAGCTTTTTAATAAATTCAAACATCAAAAAACTAGTGCAGATGTAATAATTCTTAACATTTAACATTTTTTCCTGAATGGTTTATAACAAAGTAAACCCTAAGAGTAAATTATAACTTTGCATATTTTTATTTGTTGGCATAACACCATAACTAAGACAGTTTCAACTGCCACCAGAATCTTGTTATGAGAACGAGAAATGGAAAAACTAGATAAATGGTTAAATAAACTAAATAAAATAAGATTTACCCTGAATCTTTGTCCCAAAACTTGAACTGAGATTTTTCTGAGGTTAAAAAAAGTAAGAAACAAAACTTTTAAAATGAACAGCAATCACATTTTTTTTAATCAAAGCTAATTATTCCACCATGTGTTTCTCAAATTCAGGCAATACTAAAAGGAAGAAGAAATACCATGCTTAATTACAATTTTCAAGTATATAGGCTATACCAACAATAATAATGTCCTTTGCACCCAAGCATGTCAAAACTCTTTACAAACATTAATGAATTAAGTCTTAGATCTCCTTAGGCATGTAATCATAATCCATTTTTATTTACAGGTAGTACTATGGCACTTATCAAACTTGTATCTGAATGCCTCACAAGCTTTAATTAATTAAGCTGCATACAACCTGGGTGAGCCAGACAGACAAAGTGACTTGCATAAAGTCGCAAGCCAAGGCAATGACAGAGTCAGTAAGAAAGCTCTAATCTCCTGACATCCAGCCTTGTGCCTTAGCCATATGACGTGCATTCCCTACAAAGAGGTGTAAAAATACTATTCCCTAATAACTATTAATTTTGACAGATACTAAATTATTTTACCCTAATATTGATAAGGTCTACCACGTTGGATCTGGCTCCTGTTTTATTTGAGAACTTTCTTCTGTTTCTGCTACATCTGTTGAAAAAGAAACAAGAATCTTTTTGACCAAAGTTTCATTAATATCAATGACAGTATTGCACTGGAAAAGTCGATAACTGCTGGCTGAATATTAAGAAAATATCCATGTATCTTAAAATTCAAATGATGAAAATGATTAAATAGCAAAAAGGCACTCAAAATGGTGCACTTCTATGGAAATTATTTCTTTTCGCTGGTGATGGCAATCATTCAGTCATGTGAATTGTGGGAAAAACTGCTTTGAATAAAGACAGACATCGTTTAGGATATAAGCCATCACTCAAATACACAGCTACATAAAGTCATGACTTATTAAGAACAGTTCATAAACACTGTAAAACAAAATCGGAGTAATAAATTTTTACTGCAAACCAACACTGCATGCAGAACCAGGAAGGAAACAAAAGAGAATGACTTGTGTTTTGATTAAACACCACTTTATCTTTTTAATTTTATTAGAAGTGATGCAACCTTATTTAAAATCACCAAAAATACATAGTTTTTATAATAACTGACAGCTGTCACTTACCTTCTACAGATACTTCTATTTGGCTTGGTTCAGCTGGCTCTTAAATGAAAAAAATATATAATAAAATTAACAAACATGTAGTTTAAACAATGTGCTTAAGATAAATATTACAGCAAGGCTTGGGAAAGCTAGTGAATATTCTCTCCTATGATCACTTTCAAATATTGTGCCCAAGATACAACTGTGACCTGCTGAAGATGATTAAAAAGTAAAATCTGATGTCCCTTTTTAAATTAGAAAAGCCATCACCACTTTCCCTTCAGAGTATTAAGTGAGATTCACTGCTCTGTACATATGCATGAGTCTTAATGGATTGTAAAAAACTCATTATGCAATGGTGTGCCTAAGGGTGCATGAATGGAGAACAAGAGTTTGGTCTAATATTATCAAAACTAACTAAATATACACCTTGACATCAACAAAACAACAGCTTCAGGGTCATAGTTATGTCATCTTACATGTGGGAAGAAGGGACCTCTTTAAAGTAGTTTCTAAGCAGGGTTTTCTATTAGCAAGTGTGTAAGCAGGGTGGATTGATTTAAATCAGCAAGTGGAAAGACTTGATTTAAATCACTGATTTCAATCAACTTTTCCATCTGTATTTCAGTTATTTTCTAAAGAAAGGTGCATTCTGACTATTGATATAACCATGAAAACATGTTAATTTACAGCTAAATAGAACTTTTACACTAGATTTGGTACATCTTTTTGCTATCTACAGGGATACATTATAACTATATACCTTAATTTAATTATATAGCATAATATTTTCAGATTCTTGTTAACTGTACATTTTTATTATGTCAGAAATAAGTGAATGACAAATTGCTTATTTATTAGATAATTAATTTTTTGCTCATGATTGTTATCAAGCTGCATTAGGACCGTAAGTGGAATTTCAATACACTGAACAGCATAAAAATTTATTTTTATTAAACAAAACAGAAATGTTTTGATACGAGATCCTTTCGTTTCCAAAACATGTTTCAAATTTACAACTAAATGTTGATTAAACAGAGGGATTAACTGCAAACAGTGAATTAAACCAACTATTTCAAGTCAGCCTGGGAAAGTTTTAAAATATGCCTAGGTGAAAGTGACTGGAACTTAACTAAGTCTCTTGAAAAATCAGACTCCTAAGTTACTTAGACCACCCTACTGTGCCAATAAGCTTGATCTCAAAAGTTAGAAGTAGGGGAAAAGCACCTTTCTTTATACAGAAAAGCAGCCTTTAACTCAAAGTTTTTCATAAAGGCTCATGATACAGCATATTTATTTTTTATTTAATTGTCTGAGATTATAAGTAGTTCAGGCCTTATATGTATTAAATTCAGATTTCATATTAAACAGGTTTATTTTTAAAAAGAAAAAGATTATAATTTAAATAAATTAAAAAATCAATTTTTTAAAATCAATTTTTATCTACCCAGTGTGTAAATGATCTGTATTTTCCACATAATCAAGTGTTAGGAAAGCTTCAGGATTTTTTTTAACCAATGTAATTAAGTGTCTATGGGCACTCAGATAAGCTTGACTGTAAGCAGTTCTCACTAGTTGCCATCTACTATGTTCCTGTAGCTCCTTTGTCTTGCAAATGTAATAGAGGAGTCGGCATTTTCCTCTGTAATTACAGCTCCTGCAGTAGTGGTGAGTTACCCCCTAGGAGTCAGGGAGTTTATAACCTGGCCCTGTTTCTTGGTCTAGGATCTCACTTCTCAACAATTATGGTCTAATCCCACTATGTGGAGAAGTCTATTCTATTCAAAGACATATAACTTGGGGCAGCAGGTTTTCAAAATGGACATCAAAAATGTATCTGAAACTTCAAATTCACTTAAAGCCAAAAGGAATATTGCTTACCAGTTAATCACTCAGTAGTGTAAATACAATTAACTCTGCTAAATTCTTTGTGAAGATTTAGATATATGAACAGCATTCTAGATACACAAGCAGTTAAAGGTGCCACAGGACCCTCTGTTGCCTTTAAGCAGTTACTGTGCTGCAGAAGATATGAACAGAGACTACAGGGGCAGGATAAAGAGAGATCTCACTGCCTTCATCCTAATGTATTGCACCCACATTTGTTCCTTGAAAGTGATGGGCTAATTGGTTTGGTTAAACTAAGATATGACCAAAGTATGCTCAGACTTTTGAACTAAACACAAACACAGAAAAAAAGGAAGGAAGGGCTTTATATGCTGCCTCTCATCCTTCCTGCTTACTGGTGACATTAAAAAAAAAATCAAGTCAGAGAACTAATAAAAAACCCCAAAATTAAAAAGGGAGCAATGTTTCTTCCTACTCAGATTTTAAAATCCTTAATTACCAGAGCAGACACTCTTTCAAAGTAAAATCTGGAATATCAACATCATCCGCCTTTACATGCCTAGAATACAGTCCATCATCGGGCAACAATTTCATTAGTTAGCAAGCCCTAGAATCTGACTCCTATTGCCCTTCAAAAAGCAATTTGTTACACCTCTATATTCACCTTGTACTACTGGTGCCGGTGCCGGAGCTGGAGCCGGAGCCGGAGCCGGAGCCGGTGCCTTGGCTGGTGTTTCTGATTCAGTTTTCTCCATCAACTCTGAGAGAGAATAAATACGGTCAACTGTTTAGGTTTAAAAAGAAAAGGCCCCTCAGTCAAATGGCATTTATATTTTATTGTACGCTCAACCCTGTGAACCTGTTGCATAAACAAGTTATATTCACAGTAACTGAATAATATACCCTCTTCTGCTCGATACAAGTGTTTTCCACTTCTCTTCCCTCAGAACCTAAAGATTCGTTATAATCCTCTGTGCTAACATCACCCTTTATAATGCTAAACAAGACTGGTTTTCAAAGGATAGTATAAAACGAATGGCAAGACCACTAACATTATTGAAGTAATAGACAATTCTCTCTGTATCTAGACACCTCAGATTGCCTTGACCATTGAGGACCTGATAACAGACATTTGTATGGGAAAGAAATAGGACGTGATCCTATCATCAATATCCTTCCGTGCTGGAAGAAAATCAAGTGTCTATCAGCTGTTCTCAATTGCCATTGTTGTGTTATGCTATTGACTCCTGCAGTTATATGTAGCAGTGGACAGGTTGCTCTTAAGTGGGTCCTTTCTGCCCCTCAGACAATTCGCTGGAACCCCTGCCAGGAATTGCTCTTCTGAATGGAGGGATCTTTCAGATGGTGACACAGGATATATGGGGCCAATGGGAGAGTCAATGAGAAGATCCTAAAGGCACTGTAGTCAGTAGAGCACACTGCCACTTCCAGCTGATGCAGTTGAGGATCTTATCCAATGTAAAGGGGAGACTGGGCAATGGATGAGAGCTGTCTGAGGCTCAATCCAGGTGAGAGAAGTAATGCTGGTAGGGGTTTGCCTTCTGAATCTGTAGTATACCAATGGCTCAGTGCCTGACAAGGGATCTAGACTGTTCTCAGTGGTACCAGATGACAGAACAAGGAGTAATGGTCTCAAGTTGCAGTGGGGGAGGTTTAGGTTGGATATTAAGAAAACTTTTTCACTAGGAGGGTGGTGAAGCACTGGCATGGGTTACCTAGGGAGGTGGTGGAATCTCCTTCCTTAGAGGTTTTTAAGGTCCGGCTTGACAAAGCCCTGGCTGGGATTATTTAGTTGGGAATTGGTCCTGCTTTGAGCAGGGGGTTGGACTAGATGACCTCCTGAGGTCCCTTCCAACCCTGATATTCTATGATTCTAAGGGATGCTGTGCTACCAGAGGTACTGTTTTTCAAATGAGGCTTAAAACCAAGGTCATGACTATTTTAGATAACTGAAAATACCTGGGCATTTTTCACAATATTTGGGTGACCTGGCCAAAGTCCTAATTGGATAATTACATTCCATCTCCCTAAATTCTCAGCTGAACACTTAATTTTTCACTCCAATGCCTTTGTATGGCTATTGAAAAGCTCCCACATATCAACTGCTATTGAAATGCAGCCACACCTGAGGTGAAGAAAATCTTGTATGAGTCTGTAACTGACTTCATCATGTTTCTAACACGCTCTGGGATCCTGCAGGATGAACCGTGCAAGTTCTAAGCTAGCACTGAGCTCATGTGGTTTTGTAAGTCAGGCCCTCCTATAAATAAATCAAGCATGTTTAGATTTCCTGACTAAGTACTAACGAAATAAGTTGTCCATATTTAGCAGTTAATGCTCTGGACCTTCTGCCACCCTGGGATAATGCTACAATCATCTAGCATGCCCTGTGGAGTGATACATGAATAGAATTCAAAGTGACAAAAAATGGAATACTTACGGTTGTTAATCACAAGTCCTGGAAATGGCCTGTGTAAAAAAAATAAAATAAAAGGAATACTTAATGTTTCTAAGATCACTTTTACTGTACAATCTTTCCCTCTTATGGAGGGCCTCACCTGAGGTTTCATAACGGAGCACAAAATAAAAGGAGGGACTGCAATGTTCTAGCATAGTTCCGCCTGGAGCAGAGTGGTTTATCCAGCAGACTGTGTCAATTTTACATCGATAAGAAGGTGCAAGTCCTTCCTTCAAACAGTTGCTAAGAGAATCAAATCTTCACTTGGGCCAAAATACCGCATGTTCTTATATTGATCAAGACTCATAAGCTCAAAATCAATCTTGATTAAGAGCTGCAAAATTTGGACCTCTCTAAATTCACTTTTTAGAAACTCCTTGCTTGCTAACAGAACTGCTGGATTTGATCCCTTGTAAACCAGAATAGAATCTAAGTGTTTATGTTTTCACTTTCTTGATTCATCATCTGTATAGATTCCAAAATCTCATTTATTCCACTGTATAAGCAAAACCATTTATTTCTTGATTAAACTAACTTCCAGGGTAATCATCACATTTTATCAAAAGAGACTATCTGAACTGATTTTAAGAGGGACACATTCTCAAGAATGTTAGGCAAAACAGTAACTGAAAATCTTAAACTTCAGGAATCCAATCATGTACTCACGACTTTTAAAACATAGCCATGCTGATCTGGAAATTTAAACTACTACAGATACACAATTTACTGTTAAGAGCAAACAAAGCTTGTGGACCTACGAATTCTGTTGTGCAAAGGAAAGAATTTGGGATCTAACAGCCTTGACAGCAAAGTCCATAAATTGTTTGTATAGTCATGTGCCGTACCGTAGGAGCAGTTTTCAGCTGGTGTGCTAGAAATCACTTACAAGTCAATGTAATCAATGTTCCTATATATGCTTCCCTCCCAGGGATTTTCATGTTAATGCTGTGCACCCTCAATTATTTGAATTTAAAATAACCTCAACTGCTTGTTATTCAAAACAGAGTCGACGCCTCCCCACATTTATTATTATATTGAAGATTTCCTCAATTTTCTGAAACATTGATTTTTCCAAAAGTATTGGCTATTCCCATGACATCTGGATAATCATGGTTACATTATATAATCAATGACAGTAAAATGACAGTCACATACCGAATGACAGTAAATTTGATAAACTCTGCTGATTCCAAAATCCTTCTCATGGAGCTGATTTCCAGATAACTGGGAGCTTTAAATGCCACTCCAGGAGGCATTCCATCCACCACCACACAGCCAGGGTTTATGGTGATTTTTCTGTATGGGACTTTCACAGGGAAATTCATACCGATTGCTTCACCTAAATAAGAGACGTTGTGATTTGAACTGTGACCCAAGTCTACAAATCTCAGTTTACAAATACTCAGGGCAGTAAGAAAATCAAGTGATGTGAAAACAAGCATTTAAAATAATCTCAAGTGCTATAACCTTAAAATGCACTTGCCATTTAAAACATTACATTGGGTAATTTTCAAATGAACTGTGTTCCAAGCTACACTCATGAAGGATATGGTTCATGAGAGTCACTAGTATCCAAGTATCACAGTTCAATATATAAAGGACTAAAATTTAGGTTTTATCAAAATAAATTATAGAAAAGAATACTCCAAAACATTTTCATGAAAGGAAAAAGTGTTTCCTCTCACAATTAAAGAAAAACTGAACAGTGAAAGAGTAAATAAGACTTTAAAAACTCTTTCAGCTTTAACATTTTAAGGTGTTAACTGATCAGGACTGTGTAGCTTTAAGCAAATTCTGGGTTTACATGTAAAATATTTATTAATCCAAAATAACAGGGATTTCTCGGTTTAAGAAACACAAAACAATTTAGCCCTCAAACTAGATTTCTGTGGAAGCTGGCGCATATAATTACAGATGAAAAAAATTACACATTGGTTATATATACAGTGTAAAAACGTCAACTGTAAAGGATATTATATACTATAGGTTATACTGATTTAAAACCAAAATGTAAATCAGTGGTTACTTTCAAAGCTATTTCAAATCAGAAATAAAAGCAATTACCAAACTTCCTGCTGAAGAGGTCATTTACTTGTTCTCTCAGTTGTCGAGCCTTTTCTACTTTTGATAATCTTTCACTTTCATCATCTGAAAGAAATGGTTAGTGTCAGGATTTAGCAGGTGATTTTCTTCTTCAACTAGTGCAGTACTGACTGCACAAGAGCTTATTTGAAACAAGAACAGATGTTTGCTTTATTAAGCACTAGGTAATCAGAACAAAAATAGGCCTTTTCACTGGTTTTTTGGTTATAGCAGTAATGGAGGATTTTGTAAATATGCGAACTATAAAAAGTAGCAGTTTTAAACAGGCCTGAAGATGATTTCAAAATATTTACAGGACAATGTTAGATTAATTAAAGGAGAAAATGTATTGAATAAACCCATTATTTACAAATCATGATTTATTTTAAGTAAATGTGGTGACAGTGTAAGACTGGGGACTGAAATTCTCTATTTAGCCACAGTGCAAGCCTTCCCACACTGCCTAACCAGTGTAATGTATCCCTGAGCTGAAGTGACCACTTCTGGGGAAGAGAATCTCCATGATCATTTAATCCTAATTGTGTCTACTGAGACTGCCAAAAAGGTTGCAAATTAACGCTTAATTTAGCATGTGATGGGGTGGGGGGGTTGTGCAGATGTGACCACCTGCAAATGGGAACTGAACTGAGATTCATTTTTTGTGCAGATTTCACTAAGTAGTACACACAATCATAAAAATTTAAAAAAATCAGTGTGACAACAGTGCAGACAAAGGTCACTTAAGAGAGGCTATTAAGTGATACTCTTTGTAGGCTGTACTATATATAAGACAGGATGAGTCAAAGGGCAAATCACGATAGGGGGCAGGTGGGAATATTAGGCAAAGAGCTCCTGCCATGAAGAATGAGAGCTATAAACAGTAAACAGCAGTAAAATCAGAGCACCCACCTACCTGGTATAGTCACTTGAATGATGTTAAGATCTTCAACCCCTGCGGCTGTGTTCACCACTGGCTTTGTTGTGGTGCTTGTTGTATTTGATGTATTGGATGAACTGGTTTTTCCTTAAACAGAAACAGGAATTTAAAGTATGAGCAAAATGGCTCAAGATGGGCTAACACCTTTCCAGCATATTAAATAAAAAGGGAAACATTGGGAGAGAAATAGATTTGTAGGTAAAAAAAAAAAAAAAGCTCAATTTCCAAAAGGACTTAGTCTAAATGCCTAAGTCCCTTGATTGTCAATGACACTTAGGCTCCGAAGTGCTTAAGTCATTACTGAAAATGGGACTTCCCTTCTGAAAGTTTGCCCTTCAGCTACTTCTTACAAACTACCAAAACCAAGAGAAAGGGTTAATTTGTGTTACAAGAATCTTGTTTTGTTTGCCTAGCAGGTTTTCCAATGATATTTTATTTTTTAAAAAGAATGTGTGGATATTTCCATGTTTTGGTCAAAGCAATAAACTAGAGCACTCAATTTCTAGTAACACTAGTAAAACATATTGATCAAAAGAATGAATAGTGGAATATTAAATTCTCAGCCACACAGGAAATCTTTTATAGCTGACTTTAATGGAGTGATGCCTACAACTGAGGATCTGGTCCAATGTTTCATTCTTGATCCTGCTCTCACTGACACTACCTTTACGCTGGCGTAACATCACTAAATTCAATGGAGTAACCTCTGATTTAAACTACTGAGAGTAGCATCACGTCCAAATGAATGCACCCCAGAAACCCAACTTCTTCTATGGCAGGTGTAGGCAACCCATGGCACGTGAGCTGATTTTCAGTGACACTCACACTGGCCGGGTCCAGTCCACCAGTCCGGGGGGCTCTGCATTTTAATTTAATTTTAAATGAAGCTTCTCAAACATTTAAAAAATCTTATTTACTTTACATACAACAATAGTTTAGTTATATATTACAGACTTATAGAAAGAGACCTTCTAAAAACGTTAACATGTATTACTGGCACGCGAAACCTTAAATTAGAGTGACTACATGAAGACTCGGCACACCACTTCTGAAAGGTTGCCAACCCCTGTTCTATGGAATACCTGCTTTATGTCACAATTTGGGAGTACAGTATGGGCCATTAACCAGTACCTCAATCCTTTTCATCTGATTTGAAGGAGGCACTGTAGCAGTCAGCGCAAAGGGATCTGAGACCTTAAATGTGCTAGATGATACAAAACTGACTGATAAACAAGAAAGCCATTACTGACGCTGAATTGTTGAGTTGAGGAAACTAGATAGAAGTCAAGAAAATGTAACAGCTTTACAGCTCCTCAGAGTAGGGACATATCTTCATTATAGAGGTGTACCAGTGGCACCACAGTTAAGGCTATGTCTTGATTTCTACTTGGATAAGACTTTCCAGTGAATATACTGTGAAGTTTTCAGGAATTGGTTTACACTGGGCAACATTCCTGAAGTGTTATAATCTTTGAAAGCAGCCCAAAACAGATCACCATCCAAACTCCTTAGCTGTCATAATACTTACTCTGGGGACTTTTAGCAGAGCTTTCCTTAATCGCTGCCTCAAACATCTCAGGCCTGCAGATGAACAGATTTGAACATTTCATATAGAACAGTAAAATTACGTTCAATCCATCATTTCCATCCAACAGCAAAGGAAATACTAGCTGTCAAAACTGAGTGGTCAGGAGAGGGAGAGCAAAGTTAGTACAGTAATGCTGGTCAGGCTGTTACACAAAGTTAACAAGACAAGCGATCATTTTGGTTTTCTACCTTCATCACATATATGTCAAATCCCTAATTATCTTAATGTTTTTACTCTAAAGATCAGGGGTCGGCACCACCATGTTGCACGACGGACATTTGACAAATTTCTGAAAATCGGAGTTTTTGTCATCCATCAGAAGTTTGATTTAACATCCTTACTCCTTGCTGCAGTGTTGGTGACCTTTTAGGTACAAATGACGTAACTACAAAGCCTGCAGCTCCCACTAAAGGGAAAACGCAAAGTCAACATTAACATTGAAATAAGCCCAGAACGGTGTGCTGCTCCCCATTAAGCAGGCTTTGAGGAGCATTCAGCACAGAAAAATGTTAATATATCCTTCCGTAGATCTGAAAAATCCTCTGGCATTTCCTGGTTTGCTAGACATTTCCGTATATATACTAGTGTGGTTAGTGGAGGGATCTAGCACTTTTTCAGGGCTGAACTTTGTTTTTTAAGCTCTGAAGCTCATTTCCATTGACACACACAGTTCTCTTACTTTTTTATGATAAATTTTATCTTAGATTTGTTTCGCAGGATCTTCTCCAATCTTGGAATGCCAAAAGTAGATGGTCGGCGGAATGGCACCCCTTCAGGTAGTCCTTCCACGTAGAAATCCTCTGGGTAGGATTCAAATAACGCAAATGGGACCTTGACAGGATCTTTAAGCCCCAGAGCTTCCCCTGAAATGAAAGAGCATGTAAATTATAAAAATAGTATTTTATCCTGAAGAAGGGAGTTAGGTTTCCAGCACTGCTGGTGGGCAGAAAGTGGGCCATGCTCCTTGAATACCTTCCACATACACACAAGGAGAAAATCTCAAGTCTGCAGTAAATCAAGCAAGCGCCTCTTCCTGAAAGACTGTTTGAGTCCCTAACAGCACAGCTCCTCTTGCAGCCATGTTGTCCGGCTGAGCCACAAGGAGGTACATGGCAATATGGAACTAATGGGTCTCTGGTGGACCACAGGATGTTTGTGGATTTTTGAAGCCAAACCCCTGCACCACTCCTCCATTTCCAGCCTTACATGGAAAATTTAGGGGGAATCTGATAGTTTGGAATTTTCAATCCGCGATATGAGAATCAAGCTCATGGGAGATAACAGGGCCCAGAGTTTGTAAGGCTATTAGAGTCTTTCAGAATCTGTGTATGAACAGCACCATCAGACACAACGTACATGCCTAAATAAGTAATCTCATCAAGCTCTAAAATGTACGTTTTAAAGAAGGTTGACATGCTTACCACATTTTTCATTAAAAAGATTTTCAACTTTTTGTTTTAGGTCAGTAATTTTGGCATTCCAAGCCTCTGTCAGGAAATAAGAAGAGTTAGGTCAGCATTTGTATATTTGTATTGAGCAAAAAATCTGTCTAGGAATTGTGTATTTATATATATATATATATATATTAAAATATTTACAATTGTTTACCGATGAATATGAAGTAAAAAATGAACAAAATGGCTACCAGACACTAAACAGCATTGAACCATTCCCTCTAATCCTAACTCATATCCACTATTGAGACTCTTCTCCTTGAAACTTTACAAAAGATCTCAGCTAATGAATAAATCAAAGACTCCACTATAATGAATTCAACAGTGATATATTACAGTCCTCAGAGGCGCACAGAATTATCTGAGCCAGCACCCAAAGCTTTGAAAAGGCCAGACAGACAGACAGGCTATTTCCTTGAGAAATGTAATCTCAATTATACTAGTTTCATGAAAGGATAGATTTTTATCACAAATCAATATTAACCCTTTTAACTCCATTCTAAACTTGTACTGAGCAAAAAGAACGTTCTTTTGTTTTACATTTTGTGACCATCATGTTGATAACCCTGCACAGGGCCAACCCACAACAGGGAGGAAAAGTTAAAATTCCTACACATGACTCTGCCCAAAATATGTCTTCTAAAAGCAGGGAACCATGGTCAGAGAACTGCTCTCTGATGACTATTGTGAGCAGCAGATAGCATAATCTTTTGATTTCTATGATCACCTATCCCAATACATGCAAACTCAAAAAGCATTTGACTCAATCATCAAATGCAGAATGAAGATATATCTGTTAAAAAAACCTCTCTACTATGATGAAATCTCAAAAACTTTCAAAATATCAAAATTAACAAAGGCTATCAAGGCAGATTAAAACACACAATATTTACCAAAAGAAAACTCTCTTCCTCGTGGCTTGAAGCCCATATTGGATCCATTGGTTTGAGAATTAGTTCGAACATCTGTTGTTTGTGGTTTATTAGGACCTGCAGAAACGAACAAACATATCTATATCTATATAGTGTAATATTTAAGAGCGAGAGAGAGCATACCAGTAACCACCTTCTGAGAAACAAAAATGATGAAATATGGCAATTGATTACTAAGTAAAACAAATTTTGAGTCAACACCGGAACAAAAATTCTGTTTAGAAGTGCTTTAAGGATTGTGGAATTAAAACATAACATACTTTAGCATCATTTAGTCATTGTCCACCCTTCTGTATTATTTGCCTTAAAACAAGTTCTCATTTCCCTCTTTGGAATGAAGGATCCAAATGTGTTGTGAAACAATCTTTGACAGAGCCTTCGTTCTTCCTATACCTTATAATGTTAATCAGAAATGAAAAATAGAACTGGTATCGTGAAGTTACATTAAGTTTTCGACATAGGGCAAAACTTAAGAGACCATTTTTAAAAATAATATAATTGTACTGTGGATGAAAGGTCTTCTGCAGTTACTTTTATAAGAATATTCCCTAAAGGAAGATTTCCTACCTTCTTCAACAGTCACCTCAATCTCTGGAACCTTTGAATTGCTTGCAGGACTTCTTGCTCTCTTTGAACTCTTTGGACTCAATGCTACAAATCAATAATACTGTTACTCTTCGGTAATGGACATACTTTATAGCTCCCAAAAGACAGTACTTGGAAACATCCCACAAACAAAATAATCTGACATATAATGTGTATTGTTTAATGGTATGCTTTATAAAAGCAAAACAATGCAGGTAAGATCACATACTTTAAAAAGTGAATGTATTGCTTGTGAAATAAGCAGATCTGAGACGCTCATTCAATATTCACTACATATTGTGAGCACCACACAAGATAAAGACAGGTAATATCTTTGGCACACTGGTTTTAAATGAAATTTACATCTTTGGTACTTTCGATTATCTAAATCCAAAAAGTTAATTCATGTTGATATTTATAAAGATCTTTATTTTGTAAATGACTTGACGGTTTCTCTAAGAAATATGTCTTATTTTTTAAATATAAGTTGGATTTTTATATACTAGATGATGCTGTTAACAGCCAAATCAATGCGACCCGAGAGCTTTGTAATTTATGTCGTTTACATCCTCCAGATTTATGTTGCTGCAGATCATAAAATAAATGAATGGTATAATTAATTGGTGTGTTTTTAAGCAGATATTAACGTGTGACTTTTGTTACGTGTTTTAAAAGAATATAGGTTTTATGTTTTTAGGAAAACCCTTTGGGCCAGATTCTTCCACCCTTGCTCATGTTAGGCAGCACCTCTATCAGTAGCCCACACTGTTTTCAAGTACAAAGCTGTTATTCAGTCAGGTAATGGAAGCAGAATTTAGGCCTCTGAGGTGAGGGCAGTATGGAATGTTTAACCACTTACCTTTAGTGTTTACTTTACTAGCCAATCCAGCAGGCAAATAAGAAGTGACCAGCTCTGGCCTAAAAATGTAAAATATGTTACAGAACGCAGTCTAATAAATTATAGATACAAAAAGCAGCACAGTGAATTATTTACATATTTACTGGGATTCAGACACATTTATATAAAGTCATCGTAACAGTCTTTTAGATCATGAAGTATGGGCGAGTCAATGTAAAGTAATAAGAAAGTTTCAAAATCTAAGGCTAAGTACCTGGCTTTTTGCATTTACTCTAGGGGGAAAAACGCTTCAAGAGGCAGAACGACTATCTGCCCTAGATACACATTGCATGGCACACACCAATGAGGCACATACACCCCATTTTGTGAAATTTAATCAGAAAGGCAGGTCCTTTTATCAGAAAAAGTGAATGTGCCAAAATAGTTCGCTTTCTTTTATCTATAAAAGACATTAGGCAGCATTTAAAAACCCAAACGCCCCAGGAAGAGTGTCATATAATTTTAGCCATCAGCAGTTAAAAATAACCAAATGATAAACTTACTTTTTAACAATAAATTTGATTTTGCCACTTCCACGGACAATTCTTTCAAGGCGTGGAATTCCAAACCACGTGGGACTCCGGAAGGGGATTCCTTCTGGCAAGCCTTCCACATACAAGTACTCAGGGTTCGATTCAAACACAGGGTAGGGAACCTTCACTGCCTCTGAAAGCCCCAGGGCTTGGGCTGAAAGTAAAGATGACGTGATGAGCTCAGCATTTTAGTTCAATTGTTCTTAGTATGGCTGGCATTTTTATTAGTGGCAACAGCACCCGAACCGGAATCAGAAAAGGATGAGAGAAGGGGTTTAAAACAACTTTCCCGCCATCATTCCACAGTTTGGAATCACCGCATGTAGTGATTTTGCGGATCTCACTAGGTAGGATCTTGCAACAGTTATCAATCTAGGTCCACAGTATCTGCTACTGTTTTTTAAGAGTTCCTTTCACCTAAGGATCTGAAAGCCCTTTATGAATTTGCATAAATATAATGAATCCCCTTTTTAGAGAAACCTAGGCACAGAGAGTACGGATATGACTTGCCCCATGTCACATAGCAAGCCACTAGCAAGAGTGGGGAATAAAACCCAAGACTCCCAGATCTGTTGTTCTGCAACATTTTGAATATTTGTTTTAATTTATTGTGCACCATAATACTCCTTGTACGGAAAATTGTTTTAAAACAGAGTAGCACTACAACACAGTTTACTTAAGGTTTAACTCACCAAATTTCAGATTAAATATCTCTTCCACTTGCTTCCTTAGTTTTGTGATTCTGACATTCCAATCTTCTTTGACTGAAAATCAAAAATAGATGTATCTTGGGTTACTGAGTTATTAACGGATATTTGGGAAAAAGTGGTAGTCCTAAACGTATTTATTTGATCACTGGAGTCTAACTATCAATGCAAAAATTGTCTTACTTTCTAAGATGCGCAATCACAATTTGGTATAGAAGGATTTACACGTGTATTGCTTATTAAGGTAACTGAAATTATATACAGAATATGTATATAATGATGGGAAAATATGTCTAAGCATGATTATAAATCTCTATCACTGTCCCAAGTGTATGAACTTGTCCTTCAGGACCCTGGGCAGTGGGAAGGAATTATTTTAGTGGCTTTGACACAACCGGAATTATTAATGATTTTAGCTCATGAGATTAAAAATCTTTAGAACAGAATATGAAGATTTAGAGCTTTGTCATAAATTTTGACTATCAAAAATAATGTAGTCTTGCTTTTATTATAAAGGAAAGTTGGTGACAGAAAGCAAGCCAGGAGCCAATTTTCTAAATTAGGTGGAGAGAGAGGCAGGGAGCATGTTAGTGGAAATAAAAAATACTTAAATATACTCATTTTATTCCCCAACGAACAGTGCAATTATAATTACTGATCATATCCATTGAGGAGAGATAACTTTTACTGTAGAAATGAAACCAGCATTTTAAAAAAGGCATATGTATGAAAGAAGCAATATGTACACAGGATCACAGGCTCAAAATCATATTTCAAATGAACAAATGATCTGGTCCGTTTTACTTCTAACCCCTTCAATTATAAAAAACAAAGAATGTTCATAATTTTCACCATTTATGTTGTTTACTAATTTAAAAGAGTTCACATGGACCCCAGTCCTGCAAGCATTTAACACACAATCTTATGCATACAAGAAAGTATTTGCAAGATTGGGGCTTTAACTTGGCAAGTGAAAAAAATATACTGAACAGCTTTATTTTTAGATTTCTAGTCCCACCACACAAGAAGCACAAGGGAATATTGTCTGGGCTGAACACACATGAGGGGAAGTTTTCTATCCAACCAAAGAGCACCATACTATTCTTACTAGCCAAAATAATTCTTGAATTTTTTTAAAATACAAAATCAAAATGTTGTCCCCCTAAACTATCTGGTATAGAAACTATCTTTATTTATTGTTCTGCAAAACTAACATTTTGAATTGTTCAAAAAAATTGGTATGTGTGTTCGGGGAGAGACAGTCTGCTTTAGCAACAATGGCACAGGGGACATTCTCCAGTTTTGCCTTAGGACTAATTGCCAGGAAAGAATGTTGCATCCAGTGGTTTTCACTAGCGTTTCAAGCCAAACTGAACATTTTTTCTGTGTTTATTTAACTTGTGCCCTGGATGTGGCCACAGGCAAAGTTTTGTGTGTATTTACAGCACTAGTCTTTCCCAGCAGCTGATGATAGATATAGTAACCAGTGGGAAAATCAGCATGTCATTCTGATCACTCTATTAGGCTTTTTTCTTTTTAAATGCTGATTGCTGCATGCCAGTTCTTCCAGAAGTAAGATGCTATGAAAACAGTTTCTTTCGTCACTGATATTGTTCATACTTATTGTTGCAGTTATCTTGTCAACCCGCCAGTTATGTTGTACAGTAGGACAATGAGCAAGGGCTTTGGCAGCAAGACTGAAACTAGATGCTACCCAACTCTGCAGTTGGCTACCCTATCTCCACATACAAGTCTTATCCCTGAAAGCCAAGAAAAATCTCCAATATGCTTTCATAAGACGTGGATACTATTGAACCGCAAACATTTGGAGGAAAAAGCGACCTGCATTCTCTGGTTAGGTAAAACCTAACATTTTTTGTGGTTCTATGGATTGAAAATTGTGAATACAGATGCTTGACTAAATCAAACTGTGCTTTATAAGTCATTAAAGTGATCAGGTACCAATCTGCACATACATGGTACCTCTTACCTGATGATCCCAACATGTTTTACAAATAAATTCAGTGTCATAACACTGCTGTTTGGTAGATATTGCACCCAGGTGGGTAAATGGGGGCAAGAGAAATCTAGTAAAGCAGGTTCCTAGTCCTGTGTTACAACCACTAGGGGACTCACCCTCTTATATGAAACAAGTTCTGAACTTGATAGTGTACATAGTCATGAAATACCAATGTACTTACAAAACGACATCCCTGATCTATCATTTCCTAGCAGTTCCCTTATTTTAGGAGATTAAAAAAAGGAGGCCTGAAAGAATCATCTGGGTTCTTTTTCCTTCACTACACTTTATGGTTCTTTAAAAAAATCATTCCGGAGAAGGAGAGGCACTTCTCACTTTTAAAAGATGATTACGATCACACAAGACATTAAGAGCTTGCTCAAAAGCCCACTGAAGTTTACGGAAAGATGTCCAGTGACTTCCATGGGCTTTGGATTAGGCCCTAATAGAACTTCTTGAGAATTTAAGTTTCCTCTAGGTTTTAAGTCTGAACCATTCAATTTCTAAAGTGTCAGAGATTAGCTGGACACCAACCATAATGTGTTTCAGATCATTATTTTCAAGGATGGCCATATTGGTTATAAACCTTGTGAAGAGTATACCAGTATTCCCAGAAGCAAAAATAATCTTGTGCTTCATTTTCTTTAAAAAATAATGTAGTGCTCCAAAAAATTTCTCTCACACCAAACACCACCCCCTCCCCCTCCAACACATTTAAAAATTTTCCTACTCAGTAAAGTGAGGAAGAGAGTTAATTGTCGGTCAAGATATATTTATATCTCACACACTTGCTTTTACAAAGATTGTGGTTAATTTCTAATTTAGCAAAAATATGCAAGATTCCTTCAAGTACAAATATATTAGTTTAAAGAGAGTTTCTCTTCTGTATTTATACATATTTGGTACCACTTTAGTCATGCATAGAGGTCAGAAAAATTCATTTCATATATTTATTCTGCATATGGATATATAGATGGAACTTGCATACAGTATGCATCCTACCTGGTGTATTAGATCTTGGTTGAGTAACTTCTGTCGGACTGAGAGTTAGTAGTTCTGGCCTGTAATTAGAGAGCAGGTTATCAAATTGTTCTATACAGTATCTGAATAATGATTTTTTGTTTGTTTTATGAATCTATGTTTTGATTTTAATATTATTTATTTCAAATTGTCACCAAAATGGGCTAGCTGCTATATAGATACTTAGGAAGATTATGGCCTAAATTGCGAACACCAATTTTCTTTGCAATGTGAAATATCTTCTGTCTGCCTGATACCAGAACTCAGAATGCTTTATGGTGTTATAAAGCTGAAAGCTTTTCTTTTGCTTCAATCAATCAATCTCTTGGCCTTTTCCTCTTGCTTTTTCAATTTATGGACTAAAATGTTCACCTACCTTTTGATTACAAATTTTATTCTGTTGCCCACTTGAATAATCTTTTCCAGCCGAGGGATTCCATACCAGGATGGACTCCTAAATGGAATGTTCTCTGGCAGACCCTCCACATAGAGATCACTGGGGTGTGCCTCAAATTTCTGGTATGGGACAGCCTTCGGCTCAGTGCTCCCTAGGGCCTCAGCTGTTAGAACAACAAAATAAATCCAATGATCGATCAGTCCAGCCAAACATTTTGATTCAGCAAAAACTATCACAAAGTCTCTGGGCCATCACATAAACAGTAACATTAGGTCCTAGCATAGCAAAGAATATCCAAACCCACTGGACTCCAAGTTGAAGACACAGAGTTTAGTGGATTAATTATCATAGTGTCTCATCTGATGTTCAGAATGTAGCCCACCAGCAGTGCCGGATTGAAGATTAGTGCCAATGGGTTTGCACAGGAGAAAAAGTCAAAGCAGGATTGGGCTCAAAGCGATTTGAACTTATTTTCATACAGTATCACATTTTCAGTAGTTTCATTCTTGACCTGTATATGTTCCTAAGTAGGCTGGGGGGAAACAGCATTCAAATTCAAAAAGCCCAGAAATGCTCAGCTATAAATCCTAATAGTGCCACTGATGTTATACTGTACATTGAAAAATAAGCTGACTGTTTGCTTTACCACAACTAGAGAGAAAAATCCAAATACAAAAGGAATCAGAACCATAAAAGGTAACTTTACAGATGAACTTTACTGTAAATTTACCCTTTTGAATAAACATTACAGCAATAAAAGATTTATTTTTGCTTAACAGTCAGGATTTCAAGCATCTGGAAAATTTTCATTCAAGAGTTTTATCCACTCTCCGGGGCGGGAGGGATAGCTCAGTGGTTTGAGCATTGGCCTGCTAAACCCAGGATTGAGAGTTCAATTCTTGAGGGAGCCACTTAGGGATCTGGGGCAAAATCAGTACTTGGTCCTGCTAGTGAAGGCAGGGGGCTGGACTCGATGACCTTTCAGGGTCCCTTCCAGTTCTATGAGATAGATATATCACTTATGCCTCAGAAGGATCCAATAAAGCTTTCTTAAGGATAGCTAATATGAAATCAACCTACTATGGATTAAAAGCCACACAAGAAGTTGGAATACTAGCAGTGTACTTACCAAATTTTTTACAGAAAAGTTGATCTACCATCTTCCTTAATTTGGTGATTCGGGCATACCACTCTTCTTTCACTACAATTAACAGTAACAGAACAAAGATAACTTTCCTTAATTATTTTGATTAACTGCAAGATTGTAAAGACAAGTGACACACAGTTGCTATTCACTAACACTATACAACAAGGCATGGGTTTTTAGTTTCCCCAACCATAAGGATATCAAGAGACGTGAGTACACCTCATTTGTCTTCATACTACTTCTATTAAACCCTTCAGTAAAACAGCAAAAGGGGGCTGGATTTAAAATCACAAAAGCAAGGATGGTTTTGCTTTGCACTCCATCCTTAGCGTATCCTATGCCTACAACCACTTGAATTTGGTCCTCAAAGCAGGTGGATGAAGAGGTTCACAACAGTTGGTGATCTTACTTTGCGGGTGACATACAATACTGTCATGCAATTGGTTAAGGATGGAATGACATCCTTAAATCTTATTTTCTGTTGCTTAATTTAAACCCTTATTTTTTTTTAACACGGGTATTTAATATTTGTTTTTCTTTAAATACTAGTACACGGCCGCACAAAGAATGATACACAAGCTTCACCAATGCAGACACTTACTCCTAGGTCTCAAGCCTCTACCATGGACTCAGGAACTCTCCAATATTCCCAATTCCCCTCTCAGATCAAGGTTGACAATGTGCATTTTTGGGGTTTAGGAGGCTTATATGAGCTACTATCGCTTCAAGCTACATTACAATTTATATAGACTCTTAACATTCAGCTTCAGACAATTAGCAAAACCTGACCCTGAAGTGGGGACAGGTGGTAGAATAACTTAATCAAAACACATGTTGAGGAAAGTAATTTTCCAATTATCATACACACAATGCTATATTTCATAAAAAAAAACCCCACACACGTAATCCTTTGTCTTCCAGGTTTGGGGGAAAAGGAACGGATGGATATGGATTATAATGTAGATAAATGCTTGCATTCTTATCTTTGAGTGGAAATTTCTAGTATCTTTGGGTGGAGGCAAAAGAATGCAGGAGTTTTTATCTATTGAGACTATTTACCATTGGAAAAAGGATCAAGTGGTAATATGAATGACCTTTTGCATTATAACAAGAGAATAGTCACATTCTCTTAGGGTACGTCTATACTTACCCGCTAGTTCGGCGGCAAGCAATTGATCCCGGAAGTGCTCGCCATCGACGCCGGTAATCCTGCTCCGCGAGAGGAGTAGGCAGAGTCGACGGGGGAGCCTGCCTGCCGTGTGTGGACCCGCGGTAAGTACCTTTAAGTTCGAACTAAGATACTTCGACTTCAGCTACGTTATTCATGTAGCTGAAGTTGCGTATCTTAGTTCAAACTGGGGGCTTAGTGTGGACCAGCCTTTAGTAAGTCTTGCCTTATGCCAGTAGTCATGAAGATAACCAATATCACTATTAACATATTTTTGGCACGTTACAGCCTAATCTCACACTTCAGTTTAAATACATCATCAACTTAACCAAACATACTCTGATAAATATACCTCTCTAGCCACTAAAATGGCATCGACTGTGGAGACAGAAAGCCTACCCTGTCAAACTAATAATCAAATGATAGAATCTCTATGTGGCCAATTTCATCTGATAGGTTAGCTCAGTTAGACTCTTAAAAGCACAATGTTCTTTGAAGTGAAAAAAAAAAAGATACAGCCAGTTTAGCCATTCACATCTCATTTTACCTTCACCACCTGCGTGCAACACATTTGGTTTAAATTCAGGTTCATAAATGCATTGTTCTGGGCCTCATGTTATATTTTCTAAATACAATAATAATATCTAGCTCTTATTTAGTGCTTTTCATCAGTAGATCTCAAAGCACGTTACAAAGAAGGTCAGTAACAAAATCTGTATGTGCTTATTGTAAATACATTTACAATTATGGATATGGCATAAATGGATACCCAGCATTTTTTGCCCATTCCCATTTTGCAAATTTTGGTGTGGTATGTTATCAAGGATTTTGATGCCTCTTTACGAATAGAAGACATTTAATCATATTATCATATTTAATCATGTTATGCAATCCAAAAGTTTAGAAGTCCTACCTCCTGCAGCTGGTTTGTCCAGCGGTGCATCTTCTCGTGTTGAATTCAAAAGCTCATGTCTGAAAAATTAACACAAATATACATTCTTCAGCATTAACATACCTTTTGATACGTTTTTACCAAATGGGAAGTTATAGCATACAGCTCTGTAGCAAATCCTACTCTTAGTTACCGCTGTGGGACCAGAACAGTATTCAGAATCCCCAGTATACTGGTTCTAGTCAATACCAAACCCTGAAGGCTATTACTACAGCTTGTCAGAAGAATTGTTGACAAATAGTATTTTGCTGAGATATGCAGTTTTGTTGAAGCCAAAACGTTTCACAGACACATACAAACTTTGATGGGAAGGCTTCTGGTGTCCAGAGTGGACTCTCCAATCCCCGTCACAGAAAGGGGCATAAAGAGACTAATAAAAAACCTGACCTTTTTGATGCAAAAAAGATGTTTCAATCTTAATAATTATTTGTATTACTGTAGCACCGAGGTGCCCTAATCTTGGATCAGGACCGCACTGTACTAGGGACTGTACGAACACAGAACTAAAAGTCTCTGCTCCAAAGGGCTTACAATCTAAGTCCATACAATTTCATTTAGCAAAAGTGTTCAAGGAAGTTCATTCTTAATTTTTTTGTTTTTCTTCCCATGCGGAATGAAAAAAGATTTTCAAGCCTCCAATGTTGCTGTGATAAAGAATGCTTGTTTTCCAGCCAGCTCTGGTTACTACACACAATAAAAGTAATGGAAAGGTAACAGAATTGCTTTACTTTATTAAGGATCCTTGTCTTGTGACCAATTTAGGAAGGGTGGAAGATAGTCTATGAAAAGCAAAATCTCTGTTCAGAGATTTTTTTTTTCCCCCAAGTGAGACAAAGGTAGCAGATCTCAAAGATAATAATCAGTTGCAGAACAGAGTCTGTGCTCTCATTGCAGCCTCATCTTACTTTCCTGTGGACACCCACAAAAAGCTTTGCACAGATATCAATGAAACATATAGCCTGGAAATCTGGGAAACTAACACCAATGCTGAAGGGAATGCAACATATGGAAACAAAACATTTTCCTCTTCCGCTAATTATGGTCTTGATCCAAAGCTCATGGCAGTCAATGGAGGGACTTCCATTAACAGCATTAAACATGTAAAAATGGCAGTTGTCCTGTATCTTAGCTTCATTTATATTACTTGCAGTATCACATCTGACTGAAGTGAACCACCAGGCTATTAATGGTGAATGTCACACACTACCAGTCACTGGACAACTCGAGACAATATGCTGATAGGAAAAACAGAAGAACAGAACCATAAAAACTTGAAATTCACACCTAGATCCTCGGCTGGTATAAACTTGTATAGCCCCAAAGTCAATGGAGTTATGCCAAATTACACCAGCTGAGGATCTGGCCCATGACATTAGAGAAAATTCTTCACCAATTGGGATCTTGTACAATCAACATTGTGGTGTCAAATCTGTGCCCGAACAATGCTTTAGTGGTTTGACAGAAAAAATTACTTCTTGCTAACACTACAAAACCATCTGTTGGTAGTAATCAATTTGGAAATTCTCAGAGACGGTGAAGAATTTTGGTTAGAGCACAGTATGAAGAAAGGAAGAGTGAAAATAAATGCAAAGCTCCTTACTTCTTAATCACAAACCGTATCCGCTCCTTGGCCAGCAGTATCCTCTCAAGGCGTGGGATCCCATAGGTAGATGGCCTCCTGAAGGGAATTCCTTCTGGAAGTCCTTCCACATACAAGTCTTCTACATGCGACTGGAAAAGCGGGTACGGGATAGACACTGGACCTTTTGCTTTTATAGCTTGAGCTTTAAGATAAAAGAAAAATAAAAACATTAGCATAGCTCATCACCTTATCTAACCTATTTGCTTGGTACTAATCTGAATAATATAAATACAAGCAGATAAGCAGGCAATAAATGCTTATTATCACTCTAAACACCTAACCATTCTATTTATGATTTATTTACAGTGGGAACGTCTCCCATTCTCTCTCTCATATACACCCCACAAGTGAAGTCTTTTTTCCTCTTTTCCCATTTCTCAGCAAAAATTTAGCAGCAGAGACTGCACCTGTTACCGTGAGGTTTCATCTTACTTTGGTTTCATCTTCTAGTACATTGTAGAATATCAAATAATCAAAACTACAAACCAAGTACATTTTTCGACGCATTAATTCTGAGTTTGCCAACATGGTAACAAAAATTCAGTAATTTATAATGGGCTTCCAGTCTTTAGAATGACTTAATGAAGTTCTACTTTATTTCAATAGTTAAGGAATTGACTGATGGCGCTAACAATATATTTCTGATAAGGCCAAGAACAAAAATGTGGTCCTAAAAACAACCGGTCTTCAAAAATAAAAAGCCAATAGCTCATTCATTGGTAGCATAGTCAGAAAATAACCTCAGTATGCCTTTACAAGAAGAAGAACATTAATCCCAAGAATTCTCTATTACCAACAAAACTGTTTGGTGTATTTTGTTGTTTGGGGTTTAGCTATGAACATTAGAAGCAAGGTTAACTAGGGAGAAAGTGTTTTATGGACCAAAATCTGCTCTGGGGTAACTGCATATACAACTCACTGACTTTAATGATGTATCTGAGGGCAGAATTTGGCCCTGAAAGTGCAGACAGTAACGCAAAGAAACCATCCTTCTAAGATACAACGTTTGCGCCACAGCTCAGAGAGCCGAAAAGCGGCAAGACAAACCATGACGCTTCTCAAGGAAATTTAGAGTTAATGATGACACTGCATACATAGCTACAAAACCAGTTAA